CCAACGCTAGACAAAGAAGACTCCAACTCAAATTTGGAGTACTAATCCAAGATGAAACTCTGATTTCCTGCCCCTATAAATGCAGCAGCGAGCAGCGAAGGAAGGGGGGAAGAACACGACTTGGGCAGCGGCTGGTAACGAGGACTGAAATCGCAGGGGTACGACCCTCTGTAGTCTGGACTTCGATCCTCCTTCTTCCTTGTGATTCCTTTGTTTTTTATTCATAGTGGAATTTTCTTTTATGTCAATCAAGTGAACATTAGTGTGTTAGGATTGAATTTTGTTTGTTCAATTCGCTTCTTGTTCGTTAGTCCACTTCAATTGCAATTCAAGCCTTGAGTTTGCTTACAGATGTTCCATGCGTGTGAATTGTTTAAAGTGAGAGCTTGAGTTCTAAATATGCATTCGTTTATGTTTTTGTTTCTCAAATCTGGTTTGGAGATGTTTTTAGCCTTAGTGCTATGGTTGATTTGAACTCATAAATGGTGTTTGAAACGATTGACAAAACTCTTGGGTTAAGTTGAAGGATATGGGCACTAGCATGTGGTTAAAAGCAAAAAAACAAAGTCCAGTGGTCCCCATTTATGAATGGAAAAAGATAAACAGGAATACATCTTCCAAGAAGAATTATTTTCCTAGTAACTTGCAGGACATTATTGAGGAATAGGCAGGCCCATCTAAGACAAACCACTTATGACAAACAAGGGGTGTCACATAATGTTTTGGATTCTGTTATCCACGCTCTATATGCCCCTAACAATCCTACAATAAAGAATGAGGATGTATCATACAACTTTCCTACATAGTCAGAAGCAAAAGCTTTTTTATTTTAAGAAATCCAAAATCAGTAAAAGGCTGAGCTTCCAACATGTCAATGGTGATTCAAGAATTATAAAAAAAGTAGGAAGGAATATGAGGATTCCTATTTCTTTTGATGATTGTGTTCACAATCACTCATCAAAGAAGGGACTAGTTATGTTTATAGAAGGAGAACTAGAAATAAACAATCAGTATGAAGATGAAGAAAAGCACAATAAAGAATTTAGTTATAACTCATATGATGGAAAAGAGGATGATACAATGGATTGCTCACATCTTGAACCAGCTCATTTCAGATCCCTTGTAACACCCCAAAACGCGTAACCCGAACCAACGAGTTAGCGAAACAGGTTGTTATGAATTTGGTATTCACATACATAATATTTAAAAAAACATTTAAAATAAAATATTCATTTATTTTTGTTTAAGAACAAATCATAATTTGATCAGAGTAAATAAAACAAACGTTGTAGAAGCTTTAAATAACAACATCTAACATCCTTGTAGTCTAAAGAAACAAATTCAACAAAATATATTTAATTTAAATCGAACAGCTTTGGGTCATCCACCAGCATCACGCTTCACTGTTCTCCCGGCTGCTCCTCATCCAGTCCTTGATTCCTACCTATAAAAATAATGATAGTGGAAGTATCTAATGTTAGAACTAATTCATAGACTAGCACCAAGTAACATATAATCATATAATATAAGAAGAACCTACACTTACAATTATCAAATAGTATCATCAGTCGTTCATTCGTTCGTACGTCCGTTCGTTTCAGATCCTTGCATATTGTTACCATACTCAACATATTCGACTATAGTTCAACTAAACAAACTAGTCATGAACACTCCTAATTCCAAGAGGCTAGCTTGTAAACCCAATGGAAGGTGTCCAATTGGACAGGTTGGAGCCCCCACCACGGAGGTGCCGAGGTAGGTCTTCGACTCCCGTACGTACATTTTAATCCTGGAGATCACCAGGTGTACGCTAACACCTACATGACCTTAAATTCCTAATTCTAAATTTTATAAGGCCCCGTTTGGTACACGGAATTCAATTCCAATTCTGGTGTTTGGTAGCACAAAAATTATGTGGGTTTAGAATTGATAGTGCAAAATATGAATTGGAATTGGTGAATTCAATTCTATGGAATTGAATTTTATGGAATTTTAATTCCAATTCAATTCCAATTCCATCAATTCCGTATACCAAACGGACCCTAAGTGATTCCATATTCATAATGTATCAATTCAATTTTGAGTCTCCTATACCAGGTGAGCTAATGTAGAAAATAGGGGTGGACACGGTACGGTTTCGAGACAGTTCCGATTCCGAAACCGTCGGTTCCGGTACCGCCACCCCTAAGAACCGTGACCGGACCGGATGGTACCGGTTCCGGTACCCGGACCGGCGGTTCCGGTACCGGACTGGCCGGTTTCGGCAACCCCCTTATTTTTTAAAATTTTTTTTAAAAGTCTAAATGTGTAATTGTTAAAGGAAATAGTGAAATAAAAGATAAAAAATGTAGTTAAATATTGTAAAATGAGTAATGCGCAAATTGAGGAACAACTACATTTAATATCCTGATGGTTTAAAAAAAATGTTGATGTAAAGAACCGTAAAGAAACCCTCGAATGAGCTTATATATCGCTCACCTAAAAAAGCTAATTACATATTTACATTAAAATAAAATAAAAGTTTATAACTTATTTCTCAAAACTAGGGCTTCCATCTGTGGTTGCATTCATATAATGTTCAGAATTGAATTCGTACCTTGACTCTTGAGCTTGACGTCTTGCCAAGAGCCAATCTCGGTTTCAAACAAATGTTTCAAGAGATTCAGTGCTAAGACAACTTCGGTAGTTGGTTAGAATGTTGCCGCTAGAATTGAATTCTTGTTCCACGGCTACGGTTGATATCGGGACGGATAAAACTTGTCTAGCTAGCATTCGAGACATGGGAACATGTGTTCGTTCCGCTTCCACCATGCGAGGAAGTCAAAGTCCATGTTGTCATCGTCGTCGTAATCGCATGGCACCCGGTACATAGCAAGTTCGTTGTGCGAGCTTACAGTTGTACCACCTGAACTCGTCGAAGGCTGACCACGCTTACCTTTTCTTGCCAAAAGCCGACCGACTATTCCTTTAAAACCTTTTTTTATTTGGGAGGCGGAGGAGGTGCTGTTTCTTCCAGTGCATTGCCGTATATTCCTTGAAATTCTCTAAATAAAGCCTTTAAAAGATTAATAGCATTATCTCTTTCTTGTGGACATTCTATTAAATGGTTGTAGTAATAATTATTTTCATCTATAAAACAAGTGTAGTAATAGTCAATCAGAATTTTAAAACTTTCAATCTTAAATTGAGGATCACAAATAATACCAATTTTATAAATATGAGGAATGTACAAATAATAAGCACATCATTTATCCCTCATAAGAGAGACATAGGGGTACAAATCTCGATCAGCTAAACTTTCACGAAAACATGTTGCGATTGTAACACACTTTTTAAAAAATCTATTTGTAGTTGGTTGGTAAACATGCGAGAAGTAAGAGTTGCATTGTTAAAAACTTCTAATACGACATTCAATTTTTCAACAATAACAAATTCATTCAATGAAATCATAAAACTAAGTTTATTCCTAAGAAATTCAGCAAGTTCCTCTTTGTAGCTTAGAATTTGTGCTATCAACTTGTATGTACTATTCCATCTAATGGTGATATCTTTGGCAAATATTATTGCTCTTCTATCCCTAGATTTACAAAATGACTTCCAGGGTTTCGTATTAATATGATTACCCCAAATCTTTTTAATTACATTTCTAATATTCGTCAAACCCCCCCCCCAAAGCTTCTAATCCCTGTTGAACACATAAATTTAAAACATGACAAGCACACCTTTGATGCAGAAATCTACCCATACTCGTAGTAGGGGGGCAAATTTCTTTAAGTCTAAGAATAGCAGCAATATTATTAGTGGCATTATCAAAACCAAATGCAAACACTTTAGTAACTAAATTATATTCTCGCAGAATACACTCAAGCAATAGAAAAATATTTTCAGCAGTATGAGAATCATTGAAATCACGAAATGTAAGAACACGTTTATGCATAATCTAATCACTATCTATCCAATCACAAGTAACACCCATATAAGACAAATTATGATATGTTTCACCCCAAATATCAGAACAAATAGTAATACGAGAATTAAAATTGAGAAAAAAATTTGCCAAATTCATTTTTTCAAGTTTATATTGTCGAATAATTTCTCGCTTAATTGTTTTTCTTGAAAAGCCTCTTGCTTGAGGGTTTAATGCATTTTGACAATAATCAATAAATCCAAGTTTTTCAGAAAACATGTATGGCAAATTTTCTTCACAAATCATTTCGTCCATTTTTTGCTTATTTTACTCATCGCTATAAGTAAAAAGGCCGCCCTTACCTCTGTTAGCAAACCGAGAAATTTGGGTTTGCACTTCTTGTCGTCCCTTGCTTTTCGTTGCGTATTTGGCGTACTCCACAGGGTGCCCTTAGGTGTTTTTCTGGACCACCATAACCGTCGGAAATTTCTTCTTTAATGACAGTGCCACAATAATTACAACTTCCAAAAACTTCACCATTTTTTGTTTCTTTTGAAAAATGATAAACAAAGAAATTTGATTTTAATTTTTTTTACCTTTCCCCGAACCTTGAGAGGTCTCGAGCTCACCTGCCTCCTCATCGACGTTGGTAGGATTGTTGCTCTACGGTGTAGGCTCCACGTCCATTTCGGCTTCATCAATGTCCTCGAATATATCTTCAAGAGTTTGAAGATTGGCATCGGTTCTACCTCCCAAATACTATTCGAATTCTTGATCTGTCAAAGCGTCGCCCACGAATTGATCAGGGATAGTAGGGAATGAAAAGATAGAGTGTCTTCTTTGTGAACCACGTGAGCTCGAACCGTCAGAGGTGGCTTTAGCTTTGCCTTTCCTCGAACTTCGCTTCACAACGCCCATATCCATAGACCTTCAACCGGACTCTCTCGACATTTTAATAGTTTTTTATTTTGATAAAAAAAGACTATATTAAATATTTAAAAGATTAATTATATATTGTTTTTCAAAATTATAATATTAATTTATAACAAGTTAACAATATAATATAAATATATTAGTAAATAATATATGATAATATGATTATATGAAAAATGAATGTATGACTAAAAATTTAATATTATATCAGTATATATTTATATATTATTATATAATATATTAATATATATTTATATGATTATATGAATATAAATTGTATAAAGATTAAAGAGAGATAATACGAACTAATAGAGAATTAGAGATGAAATGAGGAATAGATTGAGAAATGAGAGATTGAGATTTGAGGGTTGAGTGAGAATGTGTGATATTTTAATTAAAATGTAGAGTATATTTATAATATATTATACCCCCTTCCCCAACCCCCACTTCCCCTTAACGGCATTCTAGCCGTTTGAGGGGGTCCCTCCCCCACTAATGCACTATTTTTTTGCAAGTGGCAGCCGCAGGTCCTTCCCCCACTACACTAATGCACTAATTTCTGCCAAAGTGATAGCCAAAAGGAAAAAAGGGTACCGAACCGGTACAGGTACCGAAAAAATGGCACCGGAACCGATACCATGGGAAGCGGTGCCGGTACCAGTTCCCCAGAACCGGAGTGGCAGTTCGGTGGCCGGTGACGGTAAGGGTACCGGCGTCCGGCGGTACCGTCGCCAGTAACGGTACCGAACGGGTACTGTGTCCAGGCCTAGTAGAGAATATTCAAAATTGTATTCATTGTATTAATACGCAATACAAGTTTAAAATAATTGATGACCATTGTTTGTCTAATTTGACTTGAAAAAATTAAACACGAAGAATAGAAGTGGACATAGGGAGTAATAAATTGAAAAATGGTGCCTACCAATTTGTTCTCTTCAACTCATTCTTAATAAAATCAGATCAAATCATATCAAGTCAATCAATTTCAATTAAAATAAAATTTAAATATAACAATAATCAGCTCATATCTATACTTTATTTAAAAAGAGGTAAAATTTTCCCCGCCCAAACGTGAGAGGAATAAATGGAAAGTTTTGTGCATGTTACCCCATTACATTTATTCTAAGCATTAATATTGGTAAGTATTTCTTAATAAGTACTATATGAGTAAGTATTCATATTGGTAAGCATTAATTAAAAATTATTATGTTTCCATTTTTACTTGGGAGAATACAAAAAAATTATATAGCATATTTCTATGTTTCCATTTTTATAAAAATGCTAGGGTGATTATTATTTTTAATCTAAATACGAAAATAAAAAAATTACAAATTCCAAAATCAGTAAAGAAATTAATTTTTTTCTACATATTAGTAAGCATCAATTAATAATTACTGTGTTTCTAGTTTTATTGGGATAGTACAAAAATAATATTGTGTATTTCTGTGTTTTCATTTTCGTGAAAAAGCTAGCCTAATTGCTATTTCTAATCTAAATATGAAATTAGAAACTACATATTGGTAAGCATTAATTAATAATTACTATGTTTCCATTTTTGGTTGGGAAAATATAAAAAGATATATTACATATTTCTATGTATCCATTTTTACTAAAAGGCTAGCCTAATTACTATTTCTAATCTAAATTCAAAAATAAAGAAAATTAAAAATTTCAAAATCAATAAATAAATTAAATTTTTTATACATATTGGTAATCATTAATTAATAATTAATATGTATCTATTTTTTGGTTGGGAGAATACAAAAAAAAATAAGAAATGCTAGGTTCACAAATCAAATGGTCACAAAGTTCACAAACTTACCATTTCTAGAGTTCAATAAACAAAAAAATAGTCTAGAATAATTTTTTTTACAAAAATAAATCACAAATATTAAGTTTGTGAAACTTCTTATTAGTTTGTTTGTGAACCTAGCATTTCTCATAAAAATATATCGCATAGACTTTAATTTTGGTAAGAATCAATTCATAATTTCTACGGAGTACTATGTTTCCATTTTTGGTAGGGAGAATACAAAAAAAATATAGGATACAAATAAGTTTTCATTTTTATTAGAAGGATGAGCTTACTAGGCTGATTTTGAAAATTTTAAAAATTACAAATTCTGAAATAGAAAAAAAACATTAAATACATTAGTGCGCATAAGTTTTTGGTAAGTATCAAATTCCGAAATGGAAAACAAATTCCGAATACAAAAAAATATATTGCGTAGGCATTAATTTTGGTAAGCAATTTTTACTATGTTTTCATTTATTGGTTGGGAGAATACAAAAAAATTAAGCATACCAATAAGTTTCCATTTTTATTAAAAGACTAGGTTCACTAGGCTAATTCTGAAATGATGGGTAATAACCCATGGATTCCGCCCGGTAGGTTCATACTGACCGGGAGGTATCAAATCCAACGCCCTATGACCCGCTTGACCTGGGCGGTCTGACCGGTCACGGGTGAGAAGATTCGAAATCACACACATGGCCTCACCTCACGAAGGCATGCGTACTGACCGGGTGAAAACTGACCGGGCAGAGGAACAGTAACGCCGAGACCTGCTTGAGGTGCTTATTCATTATTATAAATAGGAGTAAAAGCCTCATTAGTGAGCCATGTTCTAATTAACTTACACGGCTTGTATTTTTGTAATCAGTCGCAGCATCATTAATAAGAAACCGGGTTACAGGTGTTTCCACCTACAACCCTTCCGCTCATTTATACTTCGTATTTGCACGGTATTTACACCATCAAATTGGCGCCGATCGTGGGACCTCATTACAGAAAGCCATGACAGGCAACCAAGAGACCGTCATTTCACAAATCTCTTGCCTAGTTGAGAACGTCATGTCGCTCCCGGGAGGAAATACCCTGCCCACTACACCAATCCCTACTCCTATAATCACCATCCCAACACCTACCCCGTTCACTTCCCCGGTAACTTCTGTCCCTATTTTTCCTCTAAATTTTCCCAGGCCCATGGACCCGATGTATTCCCAGGCGCTGCAGAGCTTTGGACAATTCATGTCCATGCTTCAACAGCCAGGAGGGTTTTCCCCCTTCATTCCCGGGCTATACGCACAAACCTTGCCTAGAGTGCTCCTTTCACTAACGTTACCGGGCTCCCCCCACCAATCCAACAAACTAACATCATCCGGCTGGTTGTTCCGATGAATCTGGTCGGGGAGATGGATACGGTTAGACCGACTCGGTCTAGGAAAAGTCGGTTTAGAAGATCTCACACCTGAATCACACCAGATGGGGACGTGTGTTCGGTTAACAGCAAGGATGAGGATAGGGAGGTGCCCCAGGCCCAAAAAAAGTTGAAAGGCAAGGCGATTCAGCCTGAAGGATCTGGACGGTTAGCGTTCCAGAGATTGGGACATGAAGGAAGGAACCAGAACCGACCGGCCAAGGAGCGGTTGGGGGTGGAGACAATTCCAGTGAGTGCCTTTGACCGGCTGGGGAGAGAAGGCGGACGACCTGGTCGGACCAGGCGAATCGAACCACCTCCTTGGGATGAACCCCAACACAGTCGGGCGCCCTTGGAGGAAGAGGAGGCAGAAAGTCATCCGAGGCACCCGGTCCATACACATATTGAACAACCCAGAGACTGTGTGGGCCGGGTAGAAGCTCAATTGGAAAAATTACAACGGCGGGTGGACCAGGATGGGAAGAAGAAGGTTTTACTAAATGGATCTTCATTCACCGACCGGGTGCATGAGACCCCTTTCCCAAAGAAGGCCAAGTTTGAGGTCCCAAAATTCACCGGTAAGGAGGACCCAGAGATCCACATCAAAACCCTCCACCAAAGTGGAAGAATGATGGGACTCATCGGGAATGAAAGATGTTTACTTTCCTTCCAGACCCTCCGCGGCCGAGCCGCCGAGTGGTTTCACAACCTCCCGTCCAGCGAAATTGATTCCTTTGATGAGCTGGTAGAAGTGTTCCAGGAAAAAATCAAGGAAAATTGTACCAAGAGGAAAACATTCACCTACTTGAGTACAGTCGGGCAGAGGGAGCATGAGGATCTAACCAAATTCCTCACCCGGTGGAAGGAAGAAGTTGACAAGGTGGAGGAGATGGAGGATAAAACCGCTATGTCCCTCCTAGTCTCCGGACTCCGGTCCGGGGAGTTATACAAAGAGTTTTGTAGGAGGTCTCCTCAGTCCTACCAAGAGGCCCACAACACGGCCTAGGATTATGCAGATGCTGAAGCTCAGGTTTTTCCAAGAGGGAAGGCGAGCAAGGTTCCCAGAGAGCAAGGAATCTGAAGAAGGAAGTTGAACTACCCGGTAGGGTAAAGGCAAAGGTGATGGAGGTGAAACTCGAGAAAATGGAAAAGAGACCGATTGCTGAGAAGCAGTGGACGGAAAAATACTACTCCTTCCACAAAATTGACTCCCAAAACACTGCTGAGTGCAACAGTGTTGAGGGGTTGATAAAGTAGATGATCGAGGCCGAGGAGCTCGATCAAGAATACCTCGCCTAGGAGAAACAGAAGAAGAATCAGTGGATCCGGCCTGAAGGACAAACGGCCAACCAGAATAAAAAGAAGAAAGCAGCCGGTAAGGAACATGTAAAAAGGATCTATGGCGGACCGGAGGGAGGAGATTTTGCTTCTCAAAGGAAGAAGTGGGGGCGTGAGCTCTATATGGCTTCAAACCCAACGGGAGCCGATCACTTTTACTGACTGGGACCTTACCATCACGGGGGAAGATCTTAATGATCCTCTTGTAATCACCATGGACATGGGTGGAGTTGATGTCTCCCGGGTACTCGTGGACATGGGCAGTAGTGTCAACGTTTTGTACTTGGAGGCCTTCAAGAAACTTAAGCTGTGTCACACACGGCTTGAGCCATTGAAAACTCCTGTGTCCGGGTTCACCGGGGACTGTTGAAACGGAAGGAATGATCCTCTTGACATGTGAGTTGGGCACAGGGGATAAGGTCATACAAAAACAGATGAGATTCGTGGTAGTGAACATCAAATGTGTTTACAATGCCATCCTGGGCCGGCCAGGAATTAACAAAGTCCGTGGGATCATCTCCATGGCCCATTTGTGCATGAAATTCTATACACCGGGTGGTATAGGACAAGTCAGGGGAGACCAAAAGAAAGCCCAGTCTTGTTATCTCGAGGCCGTGAAGAAGATGACAAAGGCATTCGAGAGGGTCACCCTGGTCTCTCAAGAGGAAGACCGGTCAAAGTTAGAACCAGGAGGCGAAACTGAGCAGATTGTCCTCCGGGATGCATTCCCAGAGAAGATGGTGAGGATTGGCCGGGACTTACCCGAGGGACTTCGAGAGGAGATCATCTCATTCCTTCGGGAGTACGCTGACATTTTCGCTTGGAGTGTGGCAGATATGCCGGGCATTGACCCTTCCGTTATATGCCACTGGTTGGCTGTAATGGAAGGTAGTTGGCCTATCAAACAAAAGAAGCGGCATTTAGAAAACGTCCGGAAGGAGTTTGTTAAGAAAGAAGTGAAGGATCTGCTAACGGTTGGGCACATCAGGGAAGTCCAATACCCGGCCTGGCTGGCAAATGTTGTCTTGGCACCAAAGGGCGATACTTGGCATATGTGCGTAGATTACACAGATCTAAACAAAGCATGCCCCATGGATTCATATCCACTGCCCAGTCCCGATCAGATGGTCGATGAGACGGTCGGATTCGAATTGTTGAGCTTTATGGACTCCTTCAAAGGCTACCATCAAATCTTCATGGCAAAGGGAGATGAGAAAAAGACTGCTTTCCTGACTCTCGAAGGCACGTATTGCTACTGGGTGATGGCTTTTAGACTTAAGAACTCATGCGCCACTTACCAACAGATGATAAATCGGCTTTTCAAGCCACTCCTCGGTAAGTCCATGGAAGCCTATGTAGATGACATGCTGATAAAGAGCCCAGGAGAAGCAAACCACCCGGCTGACATGAGACTGTGTTTTGAAATCATGGCCAAGTACAATTTACGCCTCAACCCCAAGAAATGCATCTTTGCAGTAAAAACTGACAAGTTCTTGAGGTTCATGGTAACGAAACGAGGGATTGAGCCCAATCCGGAGAAGATCAAGGGAGTAACTGAGTAGAGATCGCCAAGTTCCTTGAAGGACGTCTAGCGACTGACCGGGCGGCTAGCAGCTCTGGGTCGTTTCTTGTCCCGGTCAGCTGACAGAGCCTTACCCTTCTTCAAGGTCTTGAAGAAGGCCGGCACCTTCAAGTGGGACCGGGAATGTGAAGAAACCTTCCAAGTTCCAACAACTGAAAGAGTACTTAGTTTCTAATATAGTTTTGTCTAAACCCAAGCCGGGTGAGACTTTGTACTTGTATCTGGGCATATCTGTACTTGTATCTGGGCATATCCCAAAATGCTGTAAGCTCTGTTTTGATAAGAAATGAGGATGGCTAGAGGCCTATTTACTATGTGAGCAAAGCACTTAACAGGGCAGAAAGCCGGTACACTAAAATTGAAAAAACAGAGAATGCACTCTTTATAACGGCCAAAAAACTAACTGCGTACTTCCAAGCTCACGTAGTAGAAGTACTGACCGATCAACCACTTGGACCAGTCCTCCGCAACTCAACTTCTTCAGGAAGGATGATTAAGTGGACAATGATGCTCACCCAGTTCAAAATCGATTACAAACATCGAACTGCGATCAAGGGCCAAGCCCTGGCCAACTTCCTAGTTGAACTGACCGGTCTAGAACTCGAAGCGGGACCATCCCATTCGTTCGAACTGTGGTGGGACATGGCCGTTGATGGGGCTTCTGGGCCGAGGGGATGTGGACCTGGGATAGTTTTTACTACTACTGAAGGATTTAAGATCTACCATGCCTTGGTGTTTAACTTCAAGCTTACCAACAACGAGGCAGAGTACGAGGCATTGGTCGGCGGGCTCAGATTAGCCCGGGCACATGGTATCAAAAGAATGAAGATCTAGTCTCATTCAAGCCTGGTTGGTGGACAAGTTAATGGAGAAATGGAGGTTAAAGAAGAACGCCTCACCCGGTATAGTGGTCTAGTTCGAGCTCTTTTGAGAGAATTGGAAGAATCCTGTCTGACTAGGATATCCCGATCAGAAAATACTGATGCTGATATGCTTTCAAAACTGATGCAAGCCTGCCCGGAGCATGTATCAAAGTTGGCAAAAATTGAGATACTAGACCAACCAAGAGCCGACCGGTTGGAAGTCTCAGCCATCTAGTAGGGTTAGAGCTCGCCTGTTGGAGTGATTGAAGCGGATGATGAGTGGAGATACGACCTCATGGAATACTTGATGACTTTCCAGAAACCGGACGACGAAGAGCGGGACATGAAGGTAGTCTTGCGAGCCCCCCGATTTCAAGTTCTGGACAGTCACTTATACAAACGTGCTATCGGAGGACCTTTTCTATGCTGCCTCACCAACCCGGAGGCAGAACGGGTGATAACCGAGGTACACGAGGGAATTTGTGTTGCCCATCAAATGTCTCGTACACTGGCCCAAAGGATAATTTTGCTCGGCTATTACTGGCCGACCATCGTTAGAGATTGCGAAAGGTATGTGCAAAAGTGTAGGACATGCCAAGTCTTTTACAAACATCCCGGCCGGCCGGCTACATACTATCAACCAACCTCCAATGTCATATCCTTTGCCCGATTTGGGATTAACATCATCGAAGTGTTCCCGGTTGCGCAAGGCGGGAAGAAGTTCGTGATGGTCGCTATGGATTATTTCACCAAGTGGGTGTAGTGGAAGCTGAGGAGATGGCCACCATAACCGTGCGGCAATGTGAGAAGTTCATCTGGAAGAACATTATCACCCAGTTTGGGGGGGCACCAAAGATGATCGTGACTGATAAGTCGGGTTTGGGTTAATTATTTTTATTGTTTTTTTAGCAATTTTAATATTTTAGTATTTAATTTTTAGTTTTTTAGCTTAGTTTTATTTTTATTTTCATTTTTACATTCTTTTTATTTTCTTTCAAAATTAGTAGTTTTTTAAAACACTTTTTACATTACATTATTTTATTTTATTTTTCCTAACCCAAAATTATCAGATATCTTTTGTTTTGGAGAAAAGTGTAGCAAAAGACCAAATTGAAGTTCAAGTTTGAAGAAAAAAAGAAGATTGAATTTGGGCCGGAGCCCAAACCCTTCATTAACAAATCAAAAACTAGTCCATTACTCTCCCCCCACTTCTATCTCGCACAACGCAAGAAAAATCAAAACAACCAGCGGCGATTTCTTCCTCAACGGATGCTCCAATGTTCCTCCTTCATATTTGCCCCAAATTAAGTGCATCAACGTCTCTCTCCAATTACTCTCTTTGTCCAACGGAATGAATTTAAAGGTGCTTCTCTTCTATAAATAGTGCTCTGGCAGTAGCAAGTGACGGGGGGAAACAACAAAGGGCAACGACGATTGAGAGCCACGGCGGTGGCGGCCGGCGACGAGGCCACGACGGTGGTTTCTTCAAGCTCCAATTCCTTCACCTTTCATCTTCTTCTTCCAATTGGTAACTCTTATTTGTCAATTTTTTTTTCCTCCAAATCTTTGTAAAAGTTTGTTTTTTATTCCATTCTTACATTATAGTTTGTTGTGGTGTTAATTTTTCCTAAATTCCAAAAAATGGTTGGTGTTCTTTATGGGTTTTTTTGAATGTCTATATTAATCCCTTATGAATGAGAATTGATTCAAACTAGTTTTTCTTCAATTATTGAGCAAGTTGTTGTTGAATTGGTTGAATTTGAAGAATTATTATTTTCTATGTGTATTACGGAGGGCTAAGCCTCGTATATATAATACATGAGAATCTTAACTACGGAAGGAATCCTATACAAGGAAACTACCATGTATACAATGATTACACAATTAATACTAAATATATATATATATAACATATTTAACATGCACCCAACTACGTGACCGGAGATGGTCGAATGCCAAGGTTGTGTCTAAAGTCAGAGAATAGGAGAGATGGGAGCCCTTTGGTGAAGATATCTGCATACTGAGAGGAGGAGGGAACATGTAGGACCCGAACATGACCAAGGGCAACTTTGTCTCTAACAAAGTGAATGTCAACCTCAACATGCTTTGTCCGCTGGTGCTGAACAGGATTAGACGAGAGGTAAACGGCACTGACATTGTCACAGAACACCAAAGTGGCTCGCCGGAGAGGTAGATGAAGCTCAAGGAGAAGATTTCGGACCCAACTAGCCTCTGCTACCGCATTTGCTACGGCGCGGTACTCTGCCTCAGCACTAGAGCGAGATGTGGTGGCCTGTCTCTTGGAGGACCAAGAAATGAGGTTGTCTCCAAGGAAAACACAATACCCGGAAGTGGAGCGACGGGTGTCGGGGAAGCCTGCCCAATCCGCATCCGAATAGGCCTGTAAGGAGTCTGTGCCGGTGCGGTGAAGAGTGATGCCATGGGTAGCTGTGCCATGGATGTAGCGCAGAACTCTCTTCATAGCCGTGAGATGGGAGCTGCGTGGTGCATGAAGATGAAGGCAAAGCTGCTGTACAGCATACGTGAGATCAGGGCGTGTAAAAGTCAGGTACTGTAGGGCACCGACAATAGATCTGTAGATATTGGGATCGTGGAGTGGTGTGCCGGAAGTGGCAGACAGCTTTGCCTTGGTGTCGACCGGGGTGGAGATAGGCTTGCAGTGAAGCATGTCAGCCCGCTCAAGGATCTCGTGGGGAAACTGTGTCTGATGTAGGAAGAGACCCCCGGCCGTGCGCTAGACCCCAATGCCAAGGAAAAAATTTAGATCCCCCATATCTGTCATGGCGAACTCCCCCTTAAGTTTCTGAGTGAGGCATGTGAGGAGAGTGGTGGAGGAAGCCGTGAGCACAATGTCGTCCACATAAAGGAGAAGATAGGCCATGTCAGGTCCCCGGGAGTAGACGAAAAGAGATGTGTCGCTGTTGCATCCTCGAAACACCAAAGTGAGAAGGAAGCCTGCAAATCGCTGGTACCAGGAGCGTGGGGCTTGTTTAAGGCCATATAGGGCCTTCTTTAACCTGAAAACATAATTCGGCCGAGCTGGATCATGGAAACCAGAGGGCTGGCTGGCATAGACAGTCTCATGGAGTGTTCCATTCAGGAAAGCATTCTTGACATCGAGCTGATGGATGGGCCACCCCCTGCTGAGTGCTAGAGTGAGAACAATGCGTACCATAGCCGGTTTGACAACCGGGCTGAAAGTCTCGTCGTAGTCGATTCCAAAGCGCTGATTAAATCCACGGACCACCCATCGAGCTTTGTACCTAGACAGTTCACCTGTAGGGCCAAATTTTTGGCGAAAGAGCCACTTACCAGTGATAATGTTTTGGGTGGGGGAGGGAGGCACTAGTTCCCATGTTTCATTTTTAATCAAAGCATTAAATTCATCACACATAGCATTGTATCAGTTTTGATCCTTAAGTGCACTGCGGTAGGTGGGTGGAAGGGGAGAAATTTGGGCCATGGAGTTAAGGTTGAGGATGTGTTTGGGTTTGGATATGCCGACTTTGGACCGGGTTACCATGGGGTGGGTATTGGGCTGATCGGGCCTGGGTAGGGGAGGGTTATTTTGGGTTATAGGTGGCGGGCTGGGCTGGGAGGGATACTGGGCCGAGGGGGTAGGGGGAGAGGAGGTATGGGCCGGGTTGGGATTAGGATCAGG